CCTCTCTCCCATGCTTGGGTTGGGCTGTCCACATTACAGATGTATGTTTAAAGACATCTGCAAAGTTGTGGTTAACAAATGATTCCCCTTTCCTTGCATTCCGCAACGGAGGCCTTTCACTTTCATTGGGCTTTTTGATTTCCACTCTACACAACTTCTCTGGCTGGCAGATACATCTCCATTATGGTTTGCTTAGTATGAGTGAAGGAACCTGACGGGCTTCCTTTCTTCATTGCTAGCCTGCCCCTGCTTGAAGATCCGCACTGGCGGCCCTGTGTGTGTGCCCACCAGTCCAAGCCATTAGCCTGGGGAGGTTGGAAGGACTGGGTTTTCTCTGCAGTGGCCCCCTCCATGGCTTCTGCGACTCTATCGCAGCTAAAGTCTGTGGGACTTTAGTGCTATTTGGTTTCAATTGTTATTTTTTATTTGTATATTATGTTTTTATTGCGCCTGGTGATTTTAAATCTTGCTTTAAGCTGTGGTGCTAAAAGCTTTACCCTGAAAGATGGGTTCTAAATCTAGAACTTAGTATTGATAGTTTAAATAAACAGATATGTACTCATTTCTTATCCAGGCAAAACAATGCACAAAAACAGGTTCCAAATTGCTCCAAGGTGTTGGGATGTCACAGATGCTAATTGGTACTCTCTACACAGCTGCCTTTCTCCAGATTAAAAGTGAACCGTGCTACAGAAGAGCAGAACTGGTATTATAGCTTCACCCAGGATGGGAAAAGAAGTGCTATTTCCAACCCAGTGTGGCAAAGCAGCTTTATGACCAATGCCACTTCTTTTACCATTTTACAACTGTCATCCACACCCTAAAATCAGAATTATTTCCAGCTCAAATTCAACTGGGTTGTGCCCATCAACAGCAATTCATCACACATAATCCTAATTATCCTTGCAAATGCTAGAGAGTTCAAATGGAGATTGGTTTTATTACTTTATTGTCCATTAATGGTGTAGTCCTTTTGTATCCTTACCTGGGGTAGTGAGTCATCAAATTCAATAGGCTGCTTTGCTTGTTTTCAAATAAAAAACAGCAAGATGAGAACTATTTTTCTCACTGAAGTTACCCTCTTTGGAATACATACCATATTTTTTGCTCTATAAGACACACTTTTTCCCCCTCAAAAGGGGAAATGTCTGTGCATCTTATAGAGCGAATGTGTGTGCGCCCAATGCCTGGGACGCTGCCGGCCCGCCTGCACCACGTGGCACCACCTGGCCGGCACGCGCTCGGCATGCCCTGCTCTGCCCCCCCCCCCCCGCTCCGGCGCAGGTGAGAGCTGTGCCACTCGGGGAGGCATGTGGAGGAGGAGGAGCCGTGGGCTTGAACCCGCCGGCCGCACGGAGAGACGGACTGCTCACCCCCACCGCCGAGGAAGACCACTGCCGGCACGCTGCCAGCCCGGCTGCACCACACCTGGCTGGCACGCACTTGGCGCACCTGCTCCGCCCCCCTCCTCCGGTGCAGGTGAGCGCTGTTAATCACAGGTCGGTGTGAGTTTTCAAATGGCAACCCGTCTTTTAATGAAGCCCATGGGGAAGTGATGGGGAATGTGCCTGTGATTATCAGGAAGCTTTCCATGGATCCCTCCTCTAAAAACTAGGTGCGTCTTATGGTCAAGTGCATCTTATAGAGCGAAAAATACGGTAATTACGACATTGTTATCAATGTAGCAGTTAAGTGACTGAGCATGAATCCAGGAAATTCCTTGTTCAGACCTTGCCTCTGAGAAAAGCACAGCCAGGTGGGTGACGTTTCTGGCTGTACACAGGAATGTGCATCGGTGGTGCTTTCCTGCTGAAATTGCCTGTTCTACGCGACTGCTAAAGAGGAAGCCGCCCTGTCCCATTTTGGGTCTGGCCACACTCATTTAAAATCAACCCATCATACTTAATTAATCTCACCATGTTTCCAGGGGAAAGAAGCTAGCATCTGGGAAGGTGTGAATTATGAGTTACTTTGTGCAAGGGAACAGCTCTGCCTATTAGGCATTCTTTTATGGAGCAATCCAAGAACACACTCCAGCGCTGCCTCCTTGCTTACACCACATGAAATGTTTCATTAGGGAACCTGTATGTGATTGGCATTGCACTAGCGCAGACCTGGGCATCGTACAGCCCGCGGGCCACATCCGGCCCGATGGCTGACCCCAACTGGCCCGCAGGAGGTCACTGGCAAATTAAAAGTCAATGCAAATATATATCGTAATATAGATGCTTACTATGTTAAGCGCTGGGAGATTACATATGTTGTAAATTTGCGCTATATAAGTAAAATTGAATTGAATTTATTGCTTTTCATGTAATGTTAATGTTTTGTGACTATTCATTAAATAGTGTTGTTCTGCGCTCCACATTTTCATTGTATCATTGTAATCTTTCATTTACTGTTTTTATAGAGGTATATATTGAGCAGAGCTGTAAGTGTATTGGTCCGGCCCTTAACAACTGTCAAAGTTTCTCATGTGGCCCCATAGGAAGATTAATTGCCCACCCCTGCACGAGAGTGTGCTTGCACTAATCCTACATCAATGGCATAAGTGGAGCAGAAGAGTTAAATACCTGCCCTCTGTCTTATTCCCGGGGGTAAGCCCAGTTCAGTTCAGTCAGAATTACTTTTGAGTATATATGTACAGAACTGCACTATTAAAATTACAGAAACATTGCCAGGAGTGGTGGTGGAGTCAAGGAGCAAAGAAGAATTTGTGTTTTGCCAGAACCAGCATTAAGAACAAATCTTTCAACATTTTTGTTACAAAAGGGAAAAGGTTCCACATATTATCCTAGCAGACAAAGTACCAGAAATGAACCTTTAAGTTAAGAAGAGGGGAAAGGAAAGGGAGCATTCTGAGAAGATACTTGTGTGTGCCAACTTGGACGAGAAAACATTCTCAGGTGCCTGAAAGAACTTTATTATGCTCAATGTGTTCCAGAAAGGGCTTTCCTTCTTCAGGGGCTGCTTATTTTACTCCAGATATGTTAGAAAGAAACTTTCTAATTATTTTCCTCTCTTAAAATACTCCAAAGGCAATAATTTTCTTTCTTAAAATACTCCAGATGCAAAAAGGGGCCATGCCTGGATGAAAGAGCAATTGGTTTAGAACTGGAATGTCAACACAAGAAGTTTTGGGAAAACAGATTTTTCTGTACAGTATTAAACTTCCTCTGTGTGACCTCTTTTTCCATTTTTGTTGTATTATTTGTTCTTTTTAAAGTCTTGACTGCATTGCATGCTTGCCCATGTTTTTGTTTCCAGTGTGTTTTAACTTCTGCACTTTGCAAGCCTAACATATTCTTTAAACAATAAAAATATGCTTTGGAAACACACACACACACACACAAAGCTAGAAATAATCCTGGTGCATTTGGAACTCTGTTCGCCGGCAGAGGGATTGCTCCTTGGCAGGGATGCCTGGCCACAGCTCGGGTGAAGCAGCAGCGGGCCCTCGTGCAGTGTGGCATAAGGTGCCAGGTCTGCCTCCCGCATCGCCAGGTAGGCCTGGGAAAGCCCCCTGCTCTCCACGGGCCCTTCCTGGAATGCACCCGCAGGGCCCCGAATGATCTCTGGCGCCAAGAGCCCGGGCTGTTTGGCCACAGGGGATTCGCCTCCTGCGGCTGCCCCCCGAATCTCTCCGCCTGTTTTTCCCCCTTCTGGAATCCTGTGCCCTCCTTTCCCCCGTGCACACGAGCAGGCTCCTCTACAGGCATCCACATGCACGCACGCACGCGCACGCTTCGGAACATATGCAAATCAGCGTTAGCACATTTGGGACTCGTGCGTGTGCGCCCGTCGGTGGACTGAGCTCCGGCTCCTCTCGGGACTCCGCACCGGTCCCGCAGAGCGTGTGCAGCACTAGGGGGAGTCGGGGGTCGTGGGGCAGGGGGGGGGAGGCGCCGCTTCCGCGGGACCCGAGCCGCTGGGAAAGGAGCAACCTGTGCGCTCCCCCAGGCGCGCGCGCAGGCTGCGCCGCAGCCTTGGAGCGCGCGCGCTCGCCCTCTCTCGCCTCTCCCCCCCCCCGCCCCCCGGCAGCTGCAGCCGCCGCTCGGCTCTCAGGCTGACCTACTTTCCTCGCCAGGTTCCCGGCGCGCCAACCCCAAGAGCGCGCGGCAGCGCAGGCGAAGGAGCGGAGAGCCGCGGGGCCGCACATCGCGCGCCCCCGCCTCGCTGCTTTCTCGCTCGCAGCAGCCCGCCCGCCAGGAAGGAGCCCTGCGCCCCGGCTGGCAGGTCCCCGAAAGGAAAGGCAGGGCAGGGCAGCACCACGGCGCTCCTCCTCGGCGGCCCGGATGGCTCTCCGCCTCCGCGCCCGCTGGGCAGATGGAGAGGGCCTTGGCGGCGCCTGTCCTGCCCCGTTGGTCCTCCCCAGCCCAGCCAGCACGGCGGTTTCGTTTTCCTTCAAAAGGGTCGCCACCCCCTGTTTTCCTGGGGGGGGGGTGTCTGGAGCCCCGTTGCCCCGTTTCGCCTTGGCTGGCGCCTGACAGCAGCCCTTGGAGGCGCGCCCGCCGTGGCACCCTTCTCCGGCAGCGCACCGGTCTCCCGTCCGTGAGGGCCGTCGTCCCCTCTCGCCTGGCATGGGAGCTCTCGGCGCCACGCCGCCTTCTGCTCGCCGCCTGCCATCCGTTGTATGCATCCGCCCATCCTCAGGAGCTCGCTCCCAGTTCCCCCTTGGAAATTCCCTCATCGCCGAAGGGAGCCTCGCTAGGCGCGCTCCTCCTGCTCGGGGCGCGTGCGCAGAGGCGCGGGGCCGCCTTCCCGCACGCCCCCCTACCATCGCTTCGTGCGCGCCCCCGCGGGTGTTGCCGAAGCGCGCGCCCGGCACCGTTCCCCGCCCTCCCACCGTCGCCTTTCTTTTGGATAGGAAGTCTCCGGCTGGGCAAGGCAGCCCGAGGCGCGCGCGATCCCGAGCCCCACTGACCCAGGAGGAGCGCCGCGGGCGCGTTCCCGGCGCGGGCAGGCAGGCAGGCGCGAGCACGCGGCCGGGCGATGCTGGTGATGATGCCAGGGGAGGACGGGCTAACCCCGGCCGTGTGTTGGGGAGTTACACAACCAGTCAGGGCAGATTGCGCGCCGCAAATGTGAGTTTCTCAAGTAAGCCAAAGCTCCCGTCTCTTTCTCTTCTCCCTCCCTCTTTCTAGCCAGCCCGTTCTCCTCTCTATTTTTGCCCCCCACCCGCAACGCTCCCAGAAATGCCCCCTCTTTGGCACTTTCTGGAAGCGGCTTTCCTTAATTCCTGAATTGTTATGTTTTGCTTGCATGGCTGGCAAGGCGAGGATCCAAAGATGATATGGTTCATTCTCCAGGAACCTGGCACGGAACTGAGCGCAGTGGCGGCTGGCCACGCATCGCCTTAGAAGAGAAGCCGGGTAAGTTCTTGCGCTGGGCGCTTCGGGCAGCCTTTCTTTCTTTTGCTGGTCCGCTTTGAAAAATTATTACTACTACTACTATTATTATTGGGGTTAATTTTGCTAAGGGTGCTTGTGCAGTTTTGGCAGCCAGTGGGGAAAAAAATGCTACTAGAAGAGGAGAGCAGCTTTGCCTTGTGTTTGCTGAGTGTGGACCGAAAAGTTTGGGTGGTTGTTTTGAGCCCCTGTGTGTACCTGGATCCTTGCCGCTTCTCTTGTGCATTGCTGCAGCTGCTTTCCCTTGAATAACGATTGAAGAGGGTCCTTCCGAATAGGGAGTGGAGGTGTTTGCCGTTCCTGGGTGCAAGCATCAGGTTGTTTCCTCATTACCCAAACCAAGCTCAAGGCCTCTTGGAAAACCCTTTCAGACTTCCAGTGATGTGTCTTAGCCTCAGCCTGGCTCCAAAAGGAATTTTGTTTCTTCAAGAAACAACCAAAACCAACAGCAAATGGCACTGTTAAGGCATCCAGGAGAGGTTTAGTTAAACTGGAGCAGACTAGAGATGTTTCACCAGGTGTGTGGGGTGACTGTCAGATCAGGCCTGTGGACATGAATGAAGAACCATCTTTCAGATAAAGGCATCAGGGCTCATCTGGATGTGCCGGAGTAAACTTTGCTAGGCAAAGGGCATTATTAATTCTAAATGCTGTGCAAAGTTGGAGTTGCACAGTGTCAGCAGTTGTAATGAAGTTGCTGGGGAGACTTCACCTAAGGAAGGGGCTTGTCCTCTGCCTGTCTGGGGGAAGAGGGAGTAATTTAGCTTCGGTTTGGAAGGAACACAGATATGGTTGATCTTTTCCTGATGGAAATTGGTTGCATCTGATGGGAAAGGCAAGTCATGTTCCTATGGACACGAGTTAGAAACTAGGTTAAAAAGTTACTCCTCCCAGTCTGCCTTGGCAAACTGTTTACAAACAGTTGTGGAAACATTCTGTGTTTCAAGTAAGGTCCCCCAAACTGGTTCGCAAGACCATTACACTGCCAAGACCTCGTGTTCATTGACTGAACTTGATAGATAACTGGTTTATCAACAAGCTCTTTGGGGTGTTTCATGTTAGATGTGTTTGGCTGAGCTGTGTCCAGGTGACTCAGAGGGTGTCATCACAGTCTGCTAGAATGCTTGCCTTTGTAAAATTCCATCTTTCTGACCCACCAGATTTCCAGTTTTGTGAGTCCAAGGCAGATCCATCATAAGTAGATTTAGAACAGCCGCCCTAAAGTGGATTGGAGGAGGAAGAGGAAAGGGGAATCTGAAGTTGGCATGGTTATCAGTGGGATAGTGCTCCTCAAAACATACTTAGGAATAGTGCTGCTAACCTCGGCTGAGGCTATTCAAGAACAAGCAGACAGAGTGCTGTGCCTTTAAATTAAACAAAAAAAAGGGATATTTTGTGGCAGAGGTTGTATTTTGGGGATCATGAATGAACCTCCGTAGCAAAGCTTGAAATTAGAAATTGGCATGCTCAGGTATACCGAAAAAGGCTGTAGTAGATTTATCCTAAGAATAAAGAGTTATTTTTTACACGGAGTTTATTTTGCCTTGCCCAGCGAAAGCAGTGTTGATCCAATTAATGAGACAAGATGTTCCATTTGTTCAGACTCTGAAATGTCAGGAGTCATTCTGTTTCTTAACAGTACAAACAACCACCTTTCTTCTGATTTAAGCTTTTTTTTTTTTTTTTTGCTACTAACAGGGATTTGGGACAGGGTCTGTCGCCTAATTAAATATATCTTGGTTATTAACCATATGAATTGTCCAGTCAATTAAAACTAACTGAATCTGCATGAATTTGCATATGAAGAGATTGATAATACCTGGGCAAAAGTAAGCTTTAGATGTTTTAGGTGATGCATACATGTATCCCCACAGACACTATCTTAGAAGAGATATTCTACCCTAAATGAGATAGCCAGAAGAATGCCTGTTTTACAGCAAGCTTTTAAAATGCATACATATTTTAATACAAAAATGTTCAAAATCCTTCTTTTGGGTGCCTTCCAATGAAAAGTCTTTGTATCCTAACTTTGCTGTCTAATTATTTGGGGCATATTTTGGATCAACCAAACTAAGTTTTTAAGTGTTCAATCGATTGCACCTGACATTGCAATCCTGTGCAGAATTACTCACAGGTGAGTGCCTTCCCGAGAGTAAACTCCATTGACTTAACTTTAGATCCAATGGCATGCTGCAACCCAAGCTTTGGAAGAGTACAAAACAGTTTTTTAAAAGTGCAATATTAAATTTGTTTAAAAAACATGTTTATCACAAAAAATACTAATGGGAACAAACTTCCTCTTGTGTAGAAAAGGGCGTTCATTTTATTTATCACATACACAAGCAAGAAATTGGGTGGAATAGCTAATATTCTGGAGGGCGGAAATTCAAAGTTATCTTACTAGGCTGGAGTGCTAGGCTGAAAGCAACAGAACGGAATTCATTAGGGACGAGGGCAAGGTTCTACACCTACAAAAAGAGAACCAGATGCACAGCTACAAGACTGAGTGATGGACATGGTACCACTTCACAAGTACTTGGCGGGCTGCCACAAAGAGGAAGGCAAGGAGCTTTTCTCTGTCATCCCAGAGTGTAGGGCATGGAATTACAGGCTCAAGTTGCAGAAGGCAGATTCTGGAAGAATGTCCCGACTGCTAGAGCACTATGACAGTGGAACCAATTGCCCAGGGAGCCATGGGCTCTCCCACACTGGAGTCATTTAAGAGGCATTTGGATGACCATCTGTCAGGAATGCCTTAACCTGGGGTCCTGCATCGAGCAGGGGCTCAGTGCCTGATAGCCCCCTCCAGCATTATTGTCCCATGCTTCTGTGTAGCCTCTTGACTCATTTCTGTTAAAATACCAAGGAAGAGCTTTACTGATCTATACAAGCAAGATTTCATTTCAAGGCAATGGTGTCCTGGTAGTGCCTGGTATTTACCCATGTTGAGCTATCAGCATGCAGGGGGACATTACTGCATAAGCAAACAATATATCAGGTGCCTGCCTGAAAGAGTATACAGTTGAGGAGAGGAAGGAAGGAAGGAAGGTCAAACAACCTGTATCATTTGCATTTTGCTGTAGTTGCTCATTGATGCCAGAATGCCAACTTCTGTGGTCCACAGACAAGACTCCTTAACTTGGTTGGAGAAATTCTATGACATCAGAGCAAGTTGACCAATGGCAGACAGAGCAGTACAGTTGGATGGAGGTTGAGGAGGAACTCAAAGAAGGAAAAAGGGTAACCAAGTGCCTTTGCAGACACTTTCTGCAGTTTGGCATTCAATGTAAATGGATTTGTGGCCTATCTATGAGGAAGAAAAACAAATGGCATCCATTCCATGGGGTATGGACATCCTAGTAAATTTGGATTTGCAATATGTGGCGCTGTGAAGGCTTACGGCATTACCTTTATAAGCGGAAAGCTTGCATAATGTCAGGAACTTTGCTATTAGTGGGTTGGATCCAAGATCTGGCTTATGCAAGAGGGAAGGCTCTGCTCCCAAAGGGTACTTCTGCCTGATTTTGGGGAATACTCCCAGTAATAACTGACCAAATTCAACAGGCTCTCCTAACTCGCTGTGCCGTTTTCTCAGAGAGCCAGAGGCTCTGCCATGGAAGGAAGAGGGGGCAATGCAGTTGGAGCATTGCAGTTGATCCAGTGGGAATCTGGATCCAATCCTTGATGTGCAGAGTCTTGCATGCCTTACTCCTGCCAGGAAATGGGCTGCATTGTTCATCAGAGGCTGCAGTCTCGAAATAAGCTAGACTAACCCCCCTTAAAGCACATGCCGTCCCTTTGTCGCAAAGATGATCAGAATCAGAAAGGGAGCTGTTGGGGTGGAGTTGGTGTCAGCGCCATCTTGGATCAGACTGAGGCTGGTAGGATGCAGAGGCATGGTTGGGCATCTGCCGAGGACAGGAGGCAAGCAGCCAGGTGGTAGCCATGATGAGACAGGGCAGCGGGAGGAGCAGGGGCAGCCAGTGGCCATGGCAGTGTGTGGGTAGATTTGCTGAGGGAGGGGATCCAAGGAGGGTGCTTTGCCCAAGGATCCTCAACCTCTTGGAGCCAGCATGGGATCTGATAGCAACTATGGCTGCAGAGTTCCCAGCGCCATGAGCTCCTCCATCCATTTTGACTCTCCCTGCTGAGTCATGTGTTCCTGGCAAGAGGAGGAAAGGTAGAGTAAAATGCCTAGACACAGCTTCTGATTAGCTTGTCCTTGTCCGTTCTAGTCATGGATGAAAGATACCAAGATCCCAGCTTGGGAGCAGATGCAAAAGAAGAGATACATTTGCCTAGTTTGGAATTCAGTTCTTTGTTTGTTTATATTACTCTTCATCACATAGATTTCAGGTGGTGAGCATAACATATATGATAAAGGTGTACAATAATAATAAAATGGGGCAGCAACTAAAAACATGCAGCAGGCCAGAGCATTTCTCAATTTAAAATACCTGGGATGATGTTGATCCTCATTATTATTGCACAGTCTTAAACTGGTACTGAACAGAAAGTAATATTGGTTCCAGGTTTTAGGAGGAGTATTCCAGAACCAGGGCATCACCACTGGAAAAAATAGTACATTTCCAGTGAAGAGGCACTTGGAGAAATGCTTTTGCAGCAGATATCAAAACACAGGCAAGCTGGTATGGAAAGAAATGTGCCTTCAGGTATTCAAAGGTGTTAGGGGCTTTGGGGGTAAGTAGCAGCATCTGTAACTGAGCACAGATGTGAACAGGCAGCCAGTGCAGTTCTTTGAAAAACCATGTAATATGAACAAACTACAGAATATGACATTCTGGCCCCGTATTCTGATCTAGTCGATGCTTCTAACCACTCTGAGGTTACCTGGGCATTGATTTGCCTGTGAAGAAGCAGCAGCAGCTACGTAGTGAACCAGCCAAAGCTGCCGAAAGACACTTTATGTCCCTGAAGCCACCAAGGCTTCCATTGACAAAGCT